TAAGCGAAACATCAAAACAACATTTTTAAGCAACTGCACACCTTAGAGAGCAGCTTTGTGAGATCTTCAAACAGATTAGAGCAATAAAGGTCGCAATCATAGTTGAGATACATCTCAGTCACGAGGCCAGGCATCCTCAACATCTGAATAATGGATTCCAGAGCAAGCTCCCTGTGTTCTTGGCTTACTCGTTGAGATTCAGAGACGATCAGCTCCATTAACTTTTGGAAGTACATCTAGCACATTGTGTTAAAAACAGAAATTTACATTGTTGGTAGATAGCCAGATTGAATGAAGATAGAATGTACCTCAAGTTGCATTTTCAAATATCCTCTCATGGATTCGAACAAGAGGAAACAAACCCTGATGGCAGCTGCATAGAGCGACAACCTCTCGTGTTTTAGCAACTGGTAATGATTTCATAAATATTTTCATGGAATGTTTTTAGATATAATGAGGAAAACTATTGAATAAAAAAATGCGCTATCGAAATTAAGGCAATTTCATTTTGACTTTTTAGGAAATTGTCAAAATTAATATTGTTTCAATTACGAAAACCAGATGAAATAACAATGCCAAATTATATAAACGTATAACAATTCAAGCATCACAACATACGTAAAACAGATTTCTGCACATGTCATCCTTGATCAAATTCAGTAGCGACTTGTAATGTCCAACATGATCGGACCCTGACTCAAGAGCCACAGTGATGAGTGACAGTCCCATGTGGATCATGTTTTCGGTGTTGTGTGCGTCGTGTGGATTGGTGAGGGAAATTAGGAAACGAAGAAGTTCTCTAACACATGGAATGCTGTAGGGAGATGGAGATGCAGTACCCGTACTGCTGCTTGCAGGCAGACCTATATTAACAAATGTTGTTGGTATTTGTCTCTTGTGTGTGTGTGGTGTGAACATGAAATAAAAACAATTTACAGTATGACAATGTGAAAAACAAAATTTAAAAAACTAGCTTTCATGAGATGTTTCAACATTGTTGTCAGCCGGCTGGCTGATGTGCGATGTAAATCTTATTCCTCGAGGATTCACAAAATCTTTGCTACTGTTGTTACTACAAATGTTTTGCTGATCGTTTGATGTCTGTTTCGAATGTTCATCAGCCGGGAACTGGTATGAGTAATGAAATAATAAATTAAAAATTTTCAACAAAAATAAAAATAAACGCAATATTAAAAACAGAAAACTTAATTTTCTGTTAGTTTATTTAGACCACAGTAGTTGAAGTGGAACAAATGTTTTTTTTTTATTTATCTCTTCTGTCGGTTGTCTCCAGCCAGAGGCCAAAATGAATTGTCACCATCCGTTTCTGTCTTTCGCAATCTTTAATAGTGTTACTCTGGTTTTACCAGTAGTTCTCCCGTGTAATGATAGCCCAGCTCTTACTAAATCTCGACTAAGACACTCGTTACATCTCGTTTTAGGTCTGCCTTTTAATTTTTTCCTCTTTGGTTGATACTTCCAGATTTTCTTAGGTGTTCTGAACTCCTCAATCCTCGTTATATGTCCTGCCCAGCCCATTTCAATCTCCTTTTCTTAATGACATCACTAATATTCATTTGTCCTGTCTTTTTTCCTGATTTCATTTGTGACATGATCCTTGTAGCCAATTCGCATCATTCTTCTGATCTACATGTTCTCGCAAGCATCCAACTTTTCTTGTCAATGCTCACGACTCAGCCTCATATATCAAAACCGGAACCACCATAGCACTGTAGGCTCTTAGTTTGACTTTTAGTCTAATGTCGTGTCTTTTGAAAACTTGGTGTATAGTCTCTGAAATACTTCTGCTAGCGTGCATTCCTTTTCTTCTTCATTGAACTCTATCTTTATCTCTATCATTTGTCTTAGCAAGAAAATCTGATCATAGCATCTTCTATCTTTCCGAAATCCGCATTGGTTTTCTCTGTAAAGTATTTCTACGGTGTCGTTTCACCGATACGATTCAAAATAATTCTTGTAAACACCTATCCCTCTTCGTCTGATTAATTGCCGTTTTTACAAATGATACATTCCTAAAAATGCATGGTGAAAAAATTAAGAAAATCCACAAGAAAATAAAGGCTAAGAACAAATATCATCAAAGTAAAAGCCACCTGGAAAAGAAATGACCCAAATGTACTAATGAGTTTCACACGCAGTTTATATCAAATTTATTTAGGAGAATTAAGCACAAAGCAGCGTAGTTGTCTGAAGGAATTTTTTAGAACAATGCTATGTAGAAGAAAATACAATCAGCGTGAGAAGAAAGCAAGTGAGGATAGTGGACTTTTCACGAAAACGTGGATTTTAAGTTTAAAACCACGGACTATTTAAACATTATTTGTTTAAAGCAAGGTAATCAAGATGAAAAACAAGGCCATGATATTAAATACATCGATGTAATGAAACAGATAATCTCACTACAATTCCAATCTTCCTTCTCAGCAAAGCTCACTGCATGTTTACACTTTATAATTAAGGGAAGTGACAAACTCTTTGTACAAAATCAAATACTATCTTAATAAATTGTATACCAACACCCAACAGTAATTACAACTAGCTTTTCTACAGTTTGAGTCAACGTTTCCATATAAAAAAAATTCCAAGGACCTTATAATTCACCTAAAATATCATTTCACAGAGTTTTTTCGAAAAAATTAAAATTTCACCAATGCATAAAAATAAAAAGCAATAAAATAAAAATTATAGTTAAAGGTTAAAGTGGAATCAAGAAATCCATAGCATTTGTATTAGTAGATTTAAAACGTTGGTCCTTGGCACACTAGCTGGAAACACCAACCCACAACATAAAAACTTTTATTGCATTAAAAAAAATCAAAATTTGAGTATTTTTTAATGCAAATAAGGTTAACTTGAAAAATAATCAAGAAGGCCATAGAGCTTGAAAATATCACTATGAAATAGGAATATACATGTCAAAAGAACAAAAATTGACTTGTCGGTGAGTAAATCTAGAAAGATGGTAAATACCATAGCAAAGATCAATTATTCATCATTGTTTCTTTGTCTAGAAATTTATCCCTCCTTATATAAAGTTACTTCTACTGTTTTGTAAAATAAACTATTTCTGTATCCAATTAGCTAAACTCTCTCTCTAGTCCACACTCACTGTGGTGCCTCTTATCTTCACTATGTTATGTTTTAATTTTCCATGAAAATCTTTTAATCTACAATAAGTTTACCTTTATTACTAGATGTCACTACAGGACAGGCTTTATAAGTAATCCTTCCAAACCTGAACTATGCAGGAGAGTTTCACGCCCTTCATCTAAATACAATGTGCAGAGGAATTTGTCATATTCTTCGCTTTTTGCACCGCTACTTAATTTGCCCGTTAACTCAATACTGAATAGGAAGAGAATGTTGTGAAATGAAATAAATAAAAAAACTATTACTTTTCAATAAAAAAAACGCGCTATATCTAATTTGCATTATATTATTCTAACAAAGTCATCCATTACGTAATCCAATAGCAGTTAAAGTTAATGCATCATTATAAAATGTTTTATGGTCGATAGCTAAACTAACAAAAACTGAAAAAAGCTTTAACCAACAACTGAAAATAGCAACAAATTTTCTAAAAAGTCGTAGGAAAAGTTCTGAAAACGATGAGCCATAATGGAAATTAACTGATAACTAACTACCCAATTCAATAAAGAAACAGCAACAAACCAAAATATGATCGATCGGTATTTCATTGGGACTTTCTTGTGCATCAAGAGAACACTGAGGCAGGGGTTGTTGCTGCACGGGCGGCTCTAATTGATGGTGGCTAGATGGATGCAGGCTTTGATGCTCATGATGATTTTCAATCTAACATGCAGAATGGTGACAAAATAATTCAAGTAATAAATAGACCATGCAAAAACCTCATATTGCTTAACTATAAGCATTCCTGGAACAAGCAGCTACAATGAATGACTACATAAATGATTCCAACACTTACCCATTCATATTGTTCTGTTGATTTCCTGATGTCGTCATCTTTCTGAAACAACAGTGAGTTATTCAAATTTCATAATTGAGTTATTCACTATATCTAGTGTCAAAAATTTGATCTAATTTGCTTGAATTGGTCAGTTCTTCTAGCAATTAATGAGCTACATTTAGAGAAGAACTTGAAAAATAATAATAACGTACATGTAGAAAAGAGCTTGAATAATGATTATATCAAATATCCGACATTATTCAAACAAAAATGCATTTCAAATTACAGTTCGGACCATTGTCTGAAGAGTTAAAAAAAATAATCGTATTCTTCAAGAGTGTTTAGTGAAAAGTAAACTAGCAAAGAAGAAGTCTGAAAGTTGAAGAGCTGACTGTCGCAATTAAGATTCAACAATGGCTTATTAAAGTTATTGAGAAATATCTTAATCAAGCATCTGAGGAACGATTAAAAAATGATTGCTAAAACAAACTTCATCATCTCGTGTTAGAACAACAGGCGTCGTTGCACTAACGATGCGAATGTGACCATCAACCAGGCTTACACTGCCCTCATCCTCATAATCACTCTTCAAGGACAAACTTTTTGGCGGCTCATCCATTTTTTCACCCTGATTTTGTTGACCTGAAGAAAGACAAATTAAACAAGACTTACTTTTTTGTACTAAATTTCAATCTCTCACGAGACATGATGTATTTCATCAAACACAATCTCTCTAATGTGCGTGATCATTTCTCGGGTTTGAAATTGAAACAATGAATGTCAAATCATACTGCACCACTTTTATCAGCAAAAACAATAATCAACATAATTCTTACTTTCAGCTTTATGAGAACTGAAACTAGATGAATCTTGTAAGTTGATTGTTTCATTTGTTGGAACTGTTGACGATGAAATTGTATGATGTTTATTATCCTGCTTGCTACCTGCTGATAATGCTGTCGTGCTTGCTGCTGCTGCTGCTTTAGTTTTAACTTTAGGAGACTTCTTCCTCTGCTTGGCAGATGACTTTCCTGCATCCATTCCACCAGTCCTCATCTTCAGCTGGTGGTGGATGTTCATATGAAATAAATAGTCAGGCCATTTTTTTATCATATGTACCGTTGTCCTTCTCAATCAACAAATTTTAACTATCACCATATTATTTTTGGCTATTTTTAAACACTTTAATAGTTAATAGAGCAATAAATTGTAATAATAATAAAACTATTTTTTATTATTCATCTATTAATTATTTATAATTATTTATAACGAAGATAATATAATATTAACCAACAAATTTGTAAATACTGCACCTGCTTCTTATGAACACATGTTATAAATTAAATTGTACGAAAGACTAATAATTTTGAAATTTAAAAAAATAATATAAAGATTATTCAAAAGAGAAGTGATAGATAATGCACCACCTTCTTCATGCTGCTGACCCACTTGGCATCGTCCTTGAACTCGGGCAGTCTGGTGAAGAGCAGTTGCACCATGTCCACCAGTGTGTGCTCAGCTGATTTCCTCAACAACTCTACATTCAATTTCACTAGCATCATTTGCATCAATATCAACACAGACGTGATTTTTACTTTCGTCACATTATAATGGTGTATACACACGTTATATACACATATTTCATATTTATATTCTTCGTTATTAAAATTATTATATCTGATAAATTAGAGTACTAATAGCAATTAGTGCAATTTAAAAGTGAGCTTAATATTGAGTCTTCATTTGTGGAAAGATGTAAGAAGTTAAACCAGCAGGAAAGATGAACAAGTTGTTGTCATGCCAAATAAACGGCTGCTGCTGGTATGCATTCAGATGAGAACAAAAGATGTTTTTTAAAATGGCAATGGCATAGTGGTTACTTCTACAAGTCAGAAATCAGGCTGGTCAGAATTACTCAAAAAATATTGACTGATTGACTAAGTCAGCCCTCTTCATGAATATAAGGAAAGATGACAAAAGAGCAAAAAAAGAATGCTTCCAAATATTTCACAAAGCTGCAGCAGTTGAAGAAGCAGGTTGAAAAATGGATGTCAAAATCAAGAGGAACGTCGTTTTTCAACATCTAATCCTAATATCTATACGTTCTCAGTTCTGCTTTTTGATTGCAGGTGAGAGGTTTACTTGTTGTACGCCAAGGTAACTTGACAGATACTTCAAGGACAGACTTGCTGACGACCAAGAATTTCGAAAATATATCATTTAACAAATCAAGAAATGAGCAAGTTACTGCTGCATCGATTAAAACCATTTACCATTTCCTTCTACATATTCATTTGAATTGATGTAAAATTGATTTCTCAAGCATGTGTCATCAAGACAAGCTACAGAAACTGTTGGAACGTTCCTTCTCCAACTGCAACATCATTAAAAAGCCATTGCAATAAAATGGATGCATAGTAAGCAAACATTGCAATAACAATTGGTATATATTAAATAATTGAAGCGCAAATATATGTACAACAAACTATAAGCATACCACTGAGTCTCATCTCAAAGCAGATTCTAAAGCATGATTGCATTATTTCACAGATTGATTCGTTGGTCAACAAAACTCCACTTGGACACAAAACCAAAGACTTTAAAACCTAAATTAAAAATTTTAAACAAATATACTGATTATCCAAATGAAAATTGAAAAAGATATGCCCTTCAAACCGAATATTAATAAATGAAATCATCAGCATAATTTTGAAAGAATTAAGAGATACATGTATTTCATTTCTTCATGGCATGATGAAAAAAATAACAATCAGTGGTCTAAATATCAATATCATAGTAGCGTTCACACAGTGCCATCTCATTTTATTTTTATTGCTTGCCCTCTCTCATTATATGAACTGTCTGTTGAAGGTTCAAATCAGTTCATTCTTACACTCTTCTTTTTCATTTTCTTCAATTACAACTTTCTACATCTCTCAAAAGTTTGCCAACATTAACTCTCAGTTTTTGATTCCCCAGTCTCAAATATTCTAATGATGCAATAGTTCTAGCTGCAATTTTTCTTTTCACTTTCTTATGAATCTTTTTTAAACTATTAAGCTAATTGAACGATATGTAAAGTTTTTAAAAGACGAAACAATAAGCAACTGATCAGTTGAAACTAATAAAACTGAAAGATTTCCAGCGAGCAATATGATGAGCACCTGATTGAAGCCTCCACATTACTTTGTTCAACTTGCTCCAGCACATTTGGTTGATTTTATGACTCATTCTTGAGTTTTCAACCAATAACTGAATTTATGATCCTGAGCTAACCGGAATATAAAGAATCAAATCCAGACAATTATAAGTTCAACCTCAAAAACAAATAAATTAAAACCATTACCTCTTAAATTTGAGTAATTTGGGAGATGCTATAATTACATTTTAAACTAAATTTTGCCATCAGCATGTTAAAAACAAATTTTAATCAACAGCAAAATAAGCAAGCGTAAAATAAATTTACATAGAGAATTTTGAGGAGTACAACTTCATCGGCACTTGGATCTGTCCCAACAAATCTGGCATGAGTCACTGCATCTGCAATTTGCTCCACTGCCAGTGAGCTCAATTCTGGATCACATTCTGCAGTGCATTTCAATTTAAAAAAATTTTTATTCCTTTTTGTTTTAAGCAATGTAAAACTGGATTGAATTGTAACTTATTAAAATGTTCTAATTAAAAAGCAATTTGAAATAACCAATGAGTCGGTAAGAGAGAAATTTGTTGATGGCTGTTAGAGCCAAGCCTGTTATTGGTCCTGTAGTTTCTTCTGATCTTATGATGTCCAAAAATGGTATCAGAAATTCCAATGGTTCAATGCTTTTTATATCTAAGAAAAAATTTACTGTGATGTTTAGAGAACCTGAACAAATAATATATTTATAAATAAAAAAAACTAACCAATAATTTCATTTAGCACATTTTTTAGCTTGACCAAATTCGTTATCAATTCATTTTCATTGTCGATCTAAAATATAAAAGTTAACATCTCTATTAAGGATTGTTTCATGATGCTCCAATTGAAACATTTACTTGATGATTGTACGATGACGACCATTTAAAATTCTTCTTAATAGTTGTCAGTAACAAGTTCACCTCTCCTAAAATTATATAAACGCCGGTTTCAATTTTTGCCATAGTTCTGTTCATTTCAGCAAACAAGTTTGATCATTCTTTCTGAAAATTACAAAATCTGAACGTTAACGTTTCTAAGTTATCTTATTTATTGCAAACAAGGATTTAACAAAAAAAAAATTTTCAAGAGAGATGAAAAAACAACAATAGATTGCCAAAATTTATTCAACTAGGCATCTTAATTATATTTATTGAAAAAATTATGAATACAATATTTTTAAAAAATTGTAAAACAGTGGACAGTTAGAGCATCAAAATTTATAACTTGTGTAAGAATCTTCAGCATGTATAATGTAACAATTGAATTTATTTATTTATTCATTAATTTATTAATTAATTTATTTATTTATTTAAATTCACTCATGAACATTTCTCGGAAGATAATTTACATAGAATACAAAAAATTTGTCTAAAATAGTACACAACATATCACAACTAACCTGACCAACACATACAAAAACAGTACATTGCAAAAAAAACATAATATACATAAAGTATTAAAAAATAGTATTGAAATGAGGATTAAAAGCAAGTTAGAAACTTTAAAGTATAAAGCTCATACGGTAAGAAGTTCCACACGAAAGATGCAAAGACAAAAAACTTCCAACTCCAAAGCACATTCTAGCCCTCTGTAATAATAACAATCCATTAGTTGAAGGCCTAAAAGGCAACGTATAGGTTAGTAAGTGAACAAGCAGGTTCTCCTCAATTTTCAGGACCAAAACCATTGACACATCTGAAACCTAACATAAAATATGCTCACACTTCCTCAGGACAATATTTTAATTTAAATAATTTATAAATAATTATGAGCGAGTGCATGATGTGCATTTGGTTTACATTTATGTTAAGATATTGGTTAATTTTTACGAATGACCAACATAGTATAATCTAAATAAAATACACACAAAATAATTTTGACATGCAAGCAAGGTTATACAAATCCTTAGTAAAACCACACTTAGATTATTGCATTCCCAATTTTGCCTAGTGTCCCTATCTCAAAAAGGACAAAGACTTCAAAAAGGGCTACAAAGTTGAACAAAAGTCTACGACACCTGCAATACGAAAAAACTTGACAAATGTAGGCTAACAACCCTAGAAACACTTTGAGCAAGAGGTGATTTGATCCAAACTTACAAACTTATTACGGACAAAGAAAATTTATTGGTTACATGATTTTTTCAAGTTGTCTCATAACAGATATACAAGTGGTCATAAACCAAAGCTTTTCAAAGAAAGAACTAGACCAATGAAATATAACTTCTTCAGCAACAGAGTTGTCAAACACTGGAACAGCTTAGATAATGATGGAGTGTAAGCAGAATGGACAAACATTTTTAAAAGCAAATTGGCCAAATTGGGATTTTAACTGGAGTGGCTCTAAGCTTAATTTATTAAAACTTAATTAATTGTTTTTAACAATGTTATGGTTATCGATTCAACCATTGAATGCTTAGCATATTATTAGGCCAGGAACTTGCTTTGGTAATGACATCTAAGAATATGGCATTAACACACAATTGATTGTATGTGATCATGTATGTATGTTTGTACGTATGTGTGTATGTATGTATGTATATGTATATATGCATGTATGTATGTAAGGCATAAGCTAAGCATGTGTGCAATATGTATGTATGTTTTATGTATGTATGTCAGTTACAAACATTGATTGTATGTATGTGTGATCTGAGTGTACTGTATACAGTAGTGTAGTGTCATTGATCATTGACCCAGCGTATTGTGCAATATAAAAAATAATTATATTATGAATTGAGCGCAAGAGTTTAGTTTTTTTAGTTATTAATTATTAATTTATAATTTATATTAAATAATTATTTAATAACTAGAATTAGAATAAAATATAAATAAATGACGTGGTCTGGCAAGCAAGATAATTATTCCAAAAGCAAATAAGATAGTTGCGTAACAAAATGAATAATAGATCGGAACAAATACGAACATAAACTCGACTTCCTCAGAAACACCGCAAAACGAGCAAAAAAGACAAAAACCTGTTCAGTTTACAAAAGTTAAAAACTGTATTACCAATGTGTATCTACGTCACACTATGGACTGCCGAAAAGATATAGACTGACATTGACAACCAATACATTTGACGACCATGTATATATAGATGTGTAAATAGACCTTCGCACTGTGAAAGGCGTCTCCGAAAGTTTTAATGGATAATTAACACGTTTGTAGAATCTAAAAGTCTGTGCAAAATATTGTACGTTTGAAAAAAAAAATACAAATCGCTAGGTGTTTTAAACTGTTTATATTAAATTTTAGTTATACTGCATTATAAGTGTGGTAATATGTAAGTTCAATAAATTGATATACACTTAAAGTAATTAACATATATTAAAATATACATTAATAATAATAATGATAAATAAATGAATGAATGTTTTTCCAGTGGCGTAAAGGTAGTTGGAAAACGTACTAAAACGCCGTAAAAATCTGAACGAACGAACATTAATTTAGCAATTTAACCTAAAAAAATCCATTCCATATCTTGTTCTCTATCCATATCTTGTTCTCTGGCTACCTATAAATTATAGAATAATTTTTTAAATTTGCACATAAATGTATAAGTCTCAATCTAAATTATTTCTTAAGTTCTTATCAGATATATTAACTGAACCTAAAGCTCTGGTTTACGATCGTCTTCTTTTTTTCACATCTTCATAACTCGTTTTAAACATTCCTTTATTAAATCTGCCTTTACTTCTTTGGCCCATTTCTTTGGAATTCTCTACCTTCTTCTCTGGCTACTTCTCCATCGCTTATCAAGTTCGGAGCGGATCTCAATCAATTGATTGATTGATTGACTGACTGACTGACTGACTGACTGACTGACTGACTGACTGACTGACTGACTGACTGACTGACTGACTGACTGACTGACTGACTGACTGACTGACTGACTGACTGACTGACTGACTGACTGGCTGGCTGGCTGGCTGGCTGGCTGGCTGACTGGCTGGCTGGCTGACTGACTGACCGAAAAATGAAACATTACAATCTTTTTAAAAAAAATTTTTTAAACAATTTTCAACTTTCTTCAATTCTAAATTAGTTATTTATTTTTATTAATATAAAATGTGAATAAAAAACAATGACACATTTTAAATGAAAATGCATTATAATTACTTGTTTCTGGGTTATTAAAAACTTATTACCAGATATATTTATTTAGAATAAAATTACAAGTTATCAAAAACTAATTATTATTTTCCTCTTCTAGATAATCCTTAAAAAAGTTGTGAATTAAATGATTTGTTGAACCTGTACGTCTCCAGTTCTTGTTTGAATTTTTTTACTGGAACATTTGTTTCAAACGCAGTGGTAAATCATTTCAAATCTTTGGAAAAGCAATTAGCATACATCTATCTTTGTCTTTGCTCTAGGGACTGCTACCAATTAACAGAAGATCTATAGCAGAGCATGCCCCATGTCCATCTTAGGTTTTCTAAAAAAAAACCTCTTTCAAATATTCTGGTCCACCACCATGAATGCAATAGTGAGCAACATTCTATCTTGTAAAAAAAATTGTTTAGCGCCCCGGTAATCAATAAAAATTTGTCAACCACCCAGTTATTTGTTCCCGTTTACCAAGCCCAACAACCAGTCTTGCAGCAGCAATGTGAATGCGATGAACTCTTTTAACCACACCAACATCAGCACCAAACATCAACGAGTTATATAGTAATCTAACGTCGACAATACAAATGATACCACACAACTTGTGAGCATATTATGTATGTTCCATTAAACTATCCGAATCTATTATTGACACACCGACTCTTGTTGACAACCTATTATTCTACACATACATTTATTGACAACCGCAACAATATTATAAGTATGCAATTTTAATGTGAGAAATAAATTACCATTTTATATATATAACAGAGAACAGAACTAGATAGAATCACTAAACTACTCATTAATAATGGATATAAAAATTCCATGATCCAGAAAATAATAAACCGCAAGGATTCTGTTTCTAAATTTATTGGTGGGAAGTATTCCAATTGCACGTTATCGAATGTTTATTATCGGGTTGTTATTGTAATGTAAGATTTCAACTTTGTTGACCAAGATTTGCCTAGTAAATTTAGTTTTTAGTTAGCGCCAGTTTGTACGTGCATCGTGAGTCTTCCCGATAGCTAGGTCGTTGTCATACCAATATATTCGAAATTATGGTGCCCACACTCACCAATATGTTCGGCTGTACAGTACATATTCGTAGCCGCACTACTAATTCATCTTTTGGAATTGGTAGTAGCAAATGATTGAAATCGTATATTCTATCTATTATTATGCTGGTTGTGTCCTCTACAGGAACATTTGTAAAGAGTGACTCCACATCCAAAGATGCTATTTTGGTGTTAATGGATGGTTTTGTTGTAGACAATAAGTCTATAAATTCTCTACTTGATTTTAGGTTGTGGCTATATTACGCTTGCTGAGTTTTTTATCTTCTAGAAAAACTTGTATAATGTGATATTAGAGAAACTCAACCATAGAATTCAAATTAATCGCTGCTACCAGTTAACATTAGAGCACCAAAACATAGCATACTGTCGGAAATTGTTGGCGTGTGGGGTTTGTCTGTGCGTTTGAGCGTTTGTTCGCGGCACGGGCGTACGGCGGAAGAGAGGTAATCTCTTTCTCTATCTTTCTCAGGGAATTTTGTTTATGGTACGACAATAATAATTTTTGTATATTTTTATCGTGAGTTCGACCAGTCCTGTGTGGCACTGGACTTTTTCGAATTTTATCATTTTACTGAGTAACACACGAAGCGTAAAATATTCGATAACAATTTTATTAATCGACGACAATAAATGAAATGAATTGAACTAACTGAACTCTAGAATAATGTTAAAAATAGTATGTCCATGAATGAACTGGAATACAGGAATTAGAACTTCTTCTTGGTGGGGTCGGGCAACTTGGGTTATGTTTCTTGCCGTTCAATCGTACAACCTCGAAGTGTGTTACCGATAGTGGTGTTGATACAACTCCGAGAGATAAATGAAATGAATAAAGAAAAATTACAAAAAAATCGAAGCCTATGAGAATTCCAAGCTGCGTGCGAAACTATACCAATGAGTATAGAATCTAGCAAAAAACCCTAGGTTCACAAATAGCACAACAAAAGGATCTGCTTTCGCTGGATCCCAACAACGAGGCGGATTCGTTTCCACAGAACTCAAGGCCTGTTTTTACTGGGCCTGTCAGTCAGTCGTTCGGCTTTAGCACAACCAGGGCCTGTTTTCACTGGGCCGTCAAGTCTAGTTGGCTTTCGCACAACCAGGGCCTGTTTTTACTGGGCCTGTCAGTCAGCCGGTCAGCTTTCGCATAACCCGGGCCTGTTTTCACTGAGCCGTCAAGTCTGGTCGGCTTTCACACAACCAACAAAAAGCAACAAGAGTGAGAACAACACTGGATACAAATTGTGTGACTTTAGTACGCGTGCGAAACTATGCTAATAAGCATAAAATCTCGAACCAAATCCACTTTGAAAATTTAAGACGTTTAAATTTTACTCAGTTGAGTATATTCCACTGTGCAAAATTTGCCTACAAGCAACTGATAAAACGACCTCCATCAATGTTCAGCACTTATTACATTTCAACCAACTATCAAAGATAGCCAAACTGTCTACTCGCCAATTCGTCAAGAACAAATCTAACACAGTCAAACTGACCTGTAGGGCTTTCAACCTGACCTGACCTAAATTTCTTCTTGATTTTTTAACGTTTTCTGAAGTCATTCTTCATTTACTCAATCTAGTTTTCTTTTTTTCTTATCGATTCCCTCACTAACTCACTATCAAGCCATTATAATAAATTATTTTATTTATTTGTATTTTTAAGTTTAATGTTTGCCAACATGCTAACAACTTTATATGTCATGTAATATTTTGTACTTATTTATCGCGTTATATATATTATGTGTTTTCTAATCAAATGTGCTTCTAAATTCTATTTATAAAATACTGTGGAACATTGAATATTTGTGTTCAGGTGGCTGAGCTGGTAGAGCTCCTTAGTGAACTCGATCACAGTCCTGCCTTCTTATTATTAATTTTTTCTATATTAATTTTGAGTAGCAAATTAAAAAATAGTACTGTAAAAAAATAAGAAAACACCAAATGTACCAATCATTTTAATTGGACTATTATTTGGCAATATGACCCGATTTGATTAAAATGAAATGTTGCAAATAAAATCAACCTGCTTGTTGTTAGCGACTTTGAGTGTAAAAAAAGGCGTTATACAAATATTCCGAAAAACAATAATAATAATCTACCTCATCACTAGTAGTTAAAAGTAATTGCCGTGTCTTCTTTTTCCTGTCCTCCTTTTTCCTATTGAGTTAGCTTGAGTCGGCAGAATGGTCGCTGCGAAGCAAGCCCGAGTAAGTTCGTAAGTCATAATATTCAATATTTTTTCTTAAAAACTTAATTTTAATTTTGCAGAAAAACCCAAAAGGTGCTAGTGCAAAAAATCGAAAAAAGAAGACTTCTCTAAAGTACACGTTGGATTGCACACATCCAGTTGAAGATGGCATCATGGATTGCGCTAATTTTGTTAGTATTTTTTTTTACAAATTTTTTCGTATAAGTTTTTGTGACAAAGTGGTGTCGAAGTTAATTTTTTTAATTTATCAAATCAAATGCAAGCCAAAATTAAAAATACTCATTTTAACCCATTAATGCATGACATCTTTGATTTCATTTTTTTTTTCACAACTGACGCTTTATAGGTATAAAACAATTGGAAAAATATTAAAAAAAAATTGGGACACCTAATAATTGAGTTAGAGTGAAAATAAAAAATGTCCTTAAAAAAAGGACGCCATGCACTACAGGGTACATGTTTTTTATAATGACGTTGTTTTGTCAATTATGATATTCTGGTAATAATTTTAATAAATATAAGAGCTGTTATATGGAAAATAACCATTACTGATGTCTAGATTAGTAAATGTAATTAATTTTGCATAACCATGATATTTTTAAATTAACATTTATCAGAATAAAACTGGTATAATATTCATGAAATATAGGTATATATATTTGAAAACATGACTAATACAATGTATTAATGTTAGCAACAGCATAAAAAATAATGTTTATCGAACTAAGGCAGGTTCAACTGCTAATGATATAAGTTCAGTTCACTTTGTGTGAAAGAGTTCAAAGCAGCAGTCGTGCAAAGGCACACCACATTTGTTACATTTTTGCTGAACCTTCATACCACACTGAACACATCTTTTCTGACCACCATCAATGTGTCCAATGAAGTGGTTTTGACCATCAAATCTAACACCATCTTGGACTGTATGGCAGCTAGTAGCATGACTACGAATTGGACGTTCAATGTTATTTGTGGCTCGATACTTCAAGATATATGTCATTGCAACATCTCGCCGAAATTTTATCAGATTATAGTCATGGTGTTTGGCGGCTTCTGATATCCTGTACAGTTGCCAAGCATTCTGAACACTTACATCAATTGCAAAGCAGAACAATGCCCACCACCATTTCTTGATACGAATATTTATTCGACATTTGGCAACATTCTGGTCCATTCTATCCGTTCCACCCATGTAACGATTATACTGAGCAATCAGGTTTGGCATGGGAATTTGAACATGTTTTTTTTCTGTTGCTGACCATCTTTTGGCTTGAACCAGTGGATGAACTCCAAAACAGTTAGATAACACTGTTACTACATTATTATCGTTATCATTATTATCGAACAGCTAACATTCCCGACTTTCTGTCAAAGCAATGGTCAGATGTGCCTCGTGCATCTTTCTTCAACACATCCACTTCTATCAATCCACTTCTCCATCCTGTTTGCTCGCACAGTACCAGTCGCAGATATATTCATTGTCTTCAGTTGATCAAGCAGTCATGGAGATGTGAAGAAATTATCTATATACAGTCTGTATGGAGGTCCAAGAGGCAGCGTATTCACTAGCTGAGTCACAACAGAGCCACCAAGTCCCAGATCCGCATTAAACAAGCCATTTGATCCTTGATAAGGCTCACACTGCACCAAGTAGCCCAAACGACTGTTCATACACCAGACTTTAAACCAGAAACGAATAGGTTTGCCACGGATGAACTGTTTTGATGAGTGGCGTCCATAGTACGGCACCATGGATTCATCAATGGAAATATCCTGTTCAGTAGGCCAGTGTTGAGCAAAGCGTTCATTTAGCGTTACAAATAGTGGACGGAGTTTGGAAAGCTTAGTATTATCACAAACGTGAATATATCGCAGCAACTCCTCAAATCGGTTTACAGTCATTGCACTGCTAATGGCCTCATTGTGCACATCTTCAGCATTTTCCCAATACATCCGTCTGTTAGCTAAAGGGACATATCCTGAGATGAGAAGAATTGCTATGGCTAAATGGATTTCAGAGTTTGTTGCATCTAACTGCTTCAAGTTTTGGAGGGCCTACAAATTGGACATTTTTGTGATATGGTCAATAACCACATCATCCTGTCATTGGGTCAACAAAATTTTGGGAGTGGTTGACTTCATTGGCACCCACATTTCTCCCCCTCTGATATTTGGCCTTCATTAATTTGGATTCATCAATCTCAACGATTGTGCCAGGGCCACCTATCTGGTTAATTTATAAATAATTTTTTGAGCATTGTAATATAATTTCAATTTTTATTAAATTGTCGACAAACTCGTGTTCAGTTCGTGACATGTCGTACTCACATTTTTCGTGACCAGAAATACACAATACGAACTATCAGGCTAAGTCTTAGGTGACTTCTTTCAAAGAATGAATCTGTCCTGATGCTGCATTTTTTTGAATAATTTATAAGTATTAATTAACATTTAAATTAATAAATTAAAAATACTTCGGATATTAAACTTATGTAACCTTCTTTGGCACTCTCTTGCCAGACAACTCCATCCTTCTTTACATTGCTGTTACACGTGACGTCTGCCATTTCGCAACCACAATTATAACAGTACATTTCACAGTAAATTAGTCCGTAAAATCTGAGCCACTGCCTGGTTATGCGTCTATTTTTGTTAGACGCAAGACCAGGTTTGTAAACGTCACGCCGTCAACCATCGTAATGTTTTCCTAAATATTACAACAAACATATTGATTTATAATTTAAGTCTTAAATTTTAACATTAATCTAACGTTTTTTTAACTTAATGTTTTCGAAATATTTTAACATATATTACTCGTTATTATAAGTCATAAGTTAATGTTTAAACAATTATAAATTATGAAATTAATGTAATCATGGTTTTTGGACAAATTCAACTTTTATTAAAACAACCACGAGAACACAGAAACGTTGGAAAAAAAAATCATGTGACTTTTTTTGAAACTTTAGAAAAAAAACTAAAAACTTCCGAAAAAATTATTAAAATTTAATTGAACCTATTTTAATAAATTGATTTTAATAAATTTTAATATATATATTATTAATTTAATCAATATATTACTATGTTAACATATTTAAACATGAAATAAACGTTTTTAAAAATCTTCTTTCCTCTATTTTTATCTCAATCAACATTCTGCATATTAGTGGGAGGCGCTTTTGTAACTCTCTATTAGAGATAGTGATGTAAACAATCATAAATGTAAACAAATTTTAACATTGTAGTTGGGAATGTAAACTAGCCATTTATTTATTCAGTTAGTGCCATATTAAGAATGGCACTCAATGTTAAGTTATGCTAATTTTATTTTTGTTTTTCACACAAAAGCCATGCTATATCATAATGACAACATAAGTGTGAAGTTATTAATAACTGAAAAAATACAATTAAATCCTCTGTCTGGAAAAAACGAAAATTTTTCCGAACAAAATAATCGATAATTCTGTGTGATTATAGAAACAAATTATATACAGAATTATATATAGTAATATGAAAAGTATGACTATTTCTAATGACCATTTATCAATTAGGGTACCTTCCCTAATTGAATTGGCTGTTAGGGTCTACTTCCCTAAATGATCTTCTAACAGATCAAGCCAATGTTTGTTCTTTTCAGGAAAAATTCCTCTTGGAGAAAATTAAAGTCAATGGCAAAACAGGAAACCTTGGGTCGAATGTGACGTTAGACAAACAAAAGTCAAAAGTTGTAGTAAACTCTGAAGTTCCTTTTTCTAAAAGGTATCTTGTTTTTTTTCTTTATTTAAGCACATCGATATACATATCTAACCTCCAAAACAGGTATCTGAAGTACTTGACAAAAAAGTTTTTAAAGAAGAATAACTTGAGAGACTGGTTAAGGGTGGTTGCAAATAGTAAGGATTCTTATGAACTGCGTTACTTCCAGATAAACAATGAGGAAGAGGATGAAGAAGATGAAAAAGAATAACATTTTAATTTATCTGAAAACATCAAATGTTTGTTTTCATGTGAAATAAATATGGTAACGCTTATCACCCAGTTTCGTTTTTTGTTATTGTTTACTTTATCTGCAAAAATGTAAAAGGTTTGCGGAATATATAAATTGTGTCGGCGTATGTGTATATAGAAAATACCGTTTAAAAAGGGTGCATTATATGTTATTCTGGCTAGCTCAACAAAACTCTTGTTGACTGACCGCGGCTGACTGGATATCCATTCTCTGCGACAAAAATGTTCGTAAATCCAAAAGGAAAATACTGAATATTGTGGCATGGAACGTTCGCACATTGTAGGAGAAAAGTGATCGGCATGAACGTAGGACCGACATTCTGGCACGTGAGCTTGCTCGTTTTAAAATAGATGTCGATGGATGTGACATTGTCTAGATAGGTAGAAAAAGATTGTTTCTATGAACAGCTCAACTAGCTGTGAATGCGACGCCCTTCGAACACCAATTGTTTGTACTGGGCAGCTTCAACGCATGAGTGGGTGTAGATCATAATATATGGCGTGGGTACTAGGGCGAAATGAAGTTGGAAAAGAAAACTCAAGTGGAATCAGGCTTCTTGAGTTCTGCGTAGTGCAAAAATTAGTGGTTAGCGCGTCCGTCTACTATTCCCACGACTCCGGTTCGAATCCAGCAGGTTCATCCGGGTAGCTAGAGGTCAGTAAATGGGGAGACGACGTAAGTTGTCGCATGTTTGACCAATTGGTTCAAATGCGAAACATCTCATCTCACAAAATCAAACGTCTCAATGGCTATCATCAGTTGTATCCATTTCATTTAAATTTAGAGCTTTCATGTTTTGCTCGATTGTTTGCGACCAGGACTTCTTCGGACGGCCTTTGGGACGTGTGCCAGGTACTTCAACATCTGCAAGAGAAGTTATGGTACGGTGTTGCCGGCATTCGTCCTTAATATCATCTAAACCTGCACGACGCAGGATTTCGGTAGATTTGATGTGATCCTTCATGTCGGTTCGTTGAAGATGTTCCAGTTTGGTTTTCATTGGCCATGTTTCTGCACTATATAACAAGACCGGACGTATCACAGATTTATAAAGTCTTGATCGTAGTGGTAGTCAGATGTCACGCCGTATCAATATGGAAGCAAGGAGATGCCATTTATTCCAGGCGTGCTCGAACGGCAGCTTCAGCTGTAGAACATCTAGATATTGAAACTATGTGGCTTTCTCTACCTTAATGGCTTCAAAAACATTGCTATTTCGTATTTGTTGTGGATTGATGCAAGCAGGACAAACAAAATTGGACACTTTATATAAAGTACCAATTGTTTTTGAACAACGTTTGTGACACCACAGGTTACACTGCTGACACTTGATTGAATTGTTACCTACACAAGCTTTACGAACTGAACAGGGCCATCGTCCAGTAGCTGTGGATTGGATGGGTTCACCAGTGTTCATTGCTATGGTTTTGCTGATGTTGACTTTGAATCCATGATCGGCGAGTCTGGTGTTCCAATCTTCAAACATCTGTGCTGCATTCTGCTCAGACGTGGTTGTTAAAATGATATCATTAGCATATATTAGATTCCAAATGTCACCAGTGCGTATCGGCCTATATCAATATAATGCGGTGCTTGTGAATATGTGTGTGCGTGGTGTGAAAAGGATAAACAGCCTTTGTGGCGAAGGTGGAGAAATGAAGAACATAAATAAAAGTTATACATGTTTAGATAATATATATGTAACATAGTAAGTGGTTCTGCATATGTCAGATCGGCAATAATAAAGTCTAAAAAAAATTGGAAGATTTTAACTGGGCAACCTACTCCTGCCACCAAGTTTTGTCCTAGTTTTAAACTATTTTTGACGAAACCAAACGCAATGCATGTCTTAATGTTTTTTTGCTATGCACGCAACCGTGAGCCATCAGCCAATACCGCTATCTTATTCGTTCCTTGATCGGTGAAGATTGGAGGCTCCAACTACTTTGTAATCTGATCGTGTCTACTCAGAGAAACCAAGCGGCAGCATTCTGGATTCGTTAAACTATATTTACCACTACTACACTAGCATCATACAAAATCAAATTAGGGATTGCAGTGGTCCAATCTATACTGAACTAGTCAACAGGCCAAAAGAAATATCAGCTGCATCCGATGCACCAAGCTACGTCTGCGGTAAACGCCGGTGTGTATATTTTACAAGATTACGTCCGCGATAAATGCAGCAGTAGATATACATTTAAATAGCGTAATATATTGCGATAATATACATGACTTGTGTGTCGTGTCAATACTTTAATCGTTTGCCGGCGTACTCGATCGTTGAAGCGTTTGATCTGAACGTTGATCTGAAAGCAGTTACGTCATAACACTATTTTCACTCTGTAGACGATCATCTGCTGGAATCCAGCATCTGCTACAACAAATGCGCAATGTCATGGCCTCATGTTTCCAGTAGAGTGTGCCACGAGATACTATATGCCATATGGAAATTAAAATTTATAGTTCCATGTGTTCGATACTTCGATCGTGTAAAATACGAAAATTGGAACACTGTCTAATTGTGCTTACACAGCATTTTTAATTTGCATGAGTCATCCTAGACATATTCTGAACTTGCTTTGTTGATAACAATTTCTTCCGACACTGAGTTGAGTTCAACAAAATGAAAGGCCCCTCTGGAAATTATCACACAAGAAAAGGTAGCGGTGGACTAACATGTTGGAGAACAGTAATCGAAAAACAAAAAATAAATTGTTCCGGTTAAAATAAAAAAAACAACTGCTAATAATTTTAAACTTTTTTATTTAAAATTTTAAGGAATTTTTAGATTGTTTTCTCTTCTCTATTCAATAAATTTCTGACGTGTTCGAATAATCGGTTGGTCTTAAATTCAAAAAGAAAATATCAAACGTAACAACTAAAGACAAAAGCTAGCACCAACAAAAACTTCAATGTCTACAATGTTTCAAAATGCTTGAGTAAATTAAATAGATACTTTGCTTGTAAACAATTTTTTTTTCTTGAATACAATTTAATCTTGTCATTGCGTTTTTTTTAATACTTTTTCTTTGTTTTCAGTGAAATTTTTTGGGTCAGGATTGTAGGTGAAAAGGTTTTGGAGAGGTTCTTAATTATATCCAAAACCACTTTTACAGTTAAATGACTTTCCAAAATTGTTGGCAACCAATTTTTATCACATCTTTTAAAATCATTCAAATTTTAAATATGCTTATTGAACTAATGCAATTACGGTAAACCTTCATAAAATCACTTCCAAGTTTGGAAATTGTGAGCTTAGTTACGAGCAGCTGCCTCTTGTTTTCTTAACGATATAAACTATATAAAAATAAAATCAACAAATTTTAGTTGAACACATGACCTAAATAAAATCTTCATTTCCGATTATATTAAAAAAAACTTTCCAATCACTAGCTAGATTTCTTCAAATAAATTAGTACAAATTTTTGTCGTACGACTATAATAAATCATAATATATTTGACTAATTGTTGTGCAATCATGCTTGCCAATCAAAAGTGTAATGTAAAACTTTAAAAAATATTTTGACTATTTTAATTAGTTCATGTAAATTGCATATTTTTTCTAAAAATGAAAAATTAACAAACATATTGTAAACAAATTTTAAAATGATTTTTAATGATTTGTGAGGTCTTTGTTATGTTTACAGAATTGTATATTTGAATCAAATTTAAAAAGCAGTATTTAGCAATGCTAGTACATTAATTGTATAACGAGCACCCATCACAGCTGTCGTGATGACTAAACGTTGTTCGGATGAAGATTACGAGCACACCTTACTTGAGCTCAGTATACTGCTGAGTGTACCGCCCATGCAGACAACATATTTTATTGATCAAACAGCATTCAGTGTAAGATTTACTTTATATTATTCAACAGTTTAAAGCAAACTAGTTTCCAAGCAATTTTCATAACATTTCAGAGGAAATTTTCAATAAAAATAGAAAATGAGAGAAATTGTTCATCTTCAAGCGGGGCAATGCGGCAATCAGATAGGATCAAAGGTTAGAAATTAGATAACGTAATAACATAGAATATTATAATAACCGTTTAACATTCAAAGTTTTGGGAAGTAATATCCGATGAGCATGGCATAGATTCAACGGGAGTATACCATGGTGATTCAGATCTTCAATTAGAACGGATCAATGTTTATTATAACGAAGTGACAAGTAAGTTTATTTATTTCTAGTCATTACAAAATTGAGAATTTAATATATCAACAATTTGTAAAACGACAGCGGCAAAATATGTCCCACGAGCTGTTTTGGTAGACTTGGAACCAGGAACTATGGATTCAGTCAGAGCTGGACCATTTGGCCAGATTTTTAGACCAGATAATTTTGTGTTTGGTCATAGTGGTGCTGGAAACAACTGGGCTAAAGGTCACTACACGGAAGGAGCTGAGCTTGTAGATCAAGTGTTGGACGTGGTGAGGAGAGAAGCAGAAGGATGCGATTGTCTACAGGGTTTTCAATTAACTCACTCTCTTGGTGGTGGTACTGGTTCTGGCATGGGCACTTTATTAATCAGCAAAATAAGAGAGGAATATCCCGATCGGATAATGAACACTTTTTCCGTAGTTCCATCTCCTAAGGTATTTCTTTAAAAAATTCAATCTTAAAACTTGAAAAAGCATGTTCTTGCATTGCTTTTTAGGTTTCTGATACAGTGGTTGAACCATATAACGCTACGCTCTCGGTACACCAGCTCGTTGAAAATACCGACGAAACGTATTGCATTGACAATGAAGCTTTGTATGATATATGTTTTAGAACACTTAAACTCACAACACCAACGTACGGAGATTTAAATCATCTGGTTTCAGCTACAATGTCCGGAGTTACAACTTGTTTGCGTTTTCCTGGTCAGTTAAATGCCGACCTACGAAAGTTGGCAGTCAACATGGTTCCTTTTCCACGTTTGCATTTCTTTATGCCTGGTTTTGCACCACTTACTTCTCGTGGCTGCCAACAATATCGGGCTCTAACTGTACCAGAACTGACCCAACAAATGTTTGATGCGAAGAACATGATGGCAGCTTGCGATCCACGTCACGGAAGGTTAATCATGAAAATAATGAATATTTTCTTTTCAAAAAATTGTATTGAAACGGCAAAACTTTTTCAGATATCTCACTGTGGCAGCAATTTTCAGAGGCAAAATGTCAATGAAAGAAGTAGATGAACAGATGTTGAACGTGCAAAATAAAAACAGCAGTTATTTCGTCGAATGGATTCCGAACAACGTGAAAACAGCTGTATGTGACATTCCACCTCGCGGACTTAAAATGGCATCGACATTTATTGGGAATTCCACGGCTATTCAGGTTTGTTTATATAAAATTACAATGTTTTCCATAATTTCTAATTTTAAAATACAAGCGTTGCTCAGTTGAATATTTCTCTACTAATGTATATTTTGTAAAGGAACTGTTCAAGCGCATTTCCGAACAGTTTACTGCCATGTTCCGTCGAAAAGCATTCTTGCATTGGTACACAGGCGAAGGAATGGATGAGATGGAATTCACGGAAGCTGAATCGAATATGAATGATTTGGTTTCTGAATACCAGCAATATCAAGAAGCGACAACTGAAGAGCAAGGGGAGTTCGAAGGAACTGAAGAGGAGCCGACTGGGACTGAAGCTAGTTAAACTATTCAACATTCGGGCACTGCGATTTTTCATGAATTCATTATAGGCTTAAGGCTTTAAAATAAATTTTGAAATAAACATCAATTTTCCACGCAAGAAAGTGCTTAAGTTTTCTTGAAGTTAAATGTATTCAATTTATAACTATTTTGTAATTGCTATACTTAGCCATTTTTTTACACAAGTAATTTACATTGTCCTATCTTCTGCATTTCGGCTTACGTTATATTATAAAGTTCAGCAAGAATTTGATCACTTAATATAGAAATTTTGAATTATCTAGACAATCTACTTTAAAAGAAATTTAGTTTTCGATTATTTTTTTCGATTAAATTATAATTTTGCGTGGAAGAGAATGAATTGCTAAAATTTTCGTTCGTGGCATCTATAAAATATAGACGTGGACTTAACGAGGTGACGGTACAATTATTAGAAATTATTAAGCTACTTTTATTTAAATAAAATAATTTTTCATTCAAACGGATGTCAATCATTAGTGTTCGCACAAATGGAATAAAAGAATAAATAAACAAAATAACGCAATGAGCATGCAGCCTGTCAATGTTCAATTAAGCGAAAGACTGATTATATCCACAATTCCGAGCATTGGTTCACCGATTTCTGAAATGTTAAAAAAATAATTGCTTTCAAACAAAGTGGTGTGTATCGTACATTAGCCCAAGCCAGTACATATATCGAAAATTTGTTGAAATTTACTATAAAAAATGAAGAAAAGGATCTAAAAAATTTACTTTTGTGGTTAATGATGGTGTACGGTTCAAACTAGTGAGGCAAACCCGCTGAAAATTCGTCAGTGTGGATCTCAGGTTTGTACGTAAGCATCACTACCATCACCCAGGCGTGCAGTATCAGCTTTTAGAATAACGTTAATGATGAGTAATAAAAGGACAGGTGCAGATTTTGTTGAGGTGAATAATGTGAAACAATCAATAAGTTGAAACCAAAAACGGAATATTCAACTTTAAAGCATTAATTTGCTATAATTTTATTTTCATTATAATAAAAATTACACAATGAATATTTTTGATTGTTCGTTTATAATAAAAAGTTAAAACGATGCATATTTATTTGTTTGTTTGTATTTTCATATAAAGAGGATTGGGTCAAATGCATTTTATTTTTGGCTTGTTTTTAGTACCAGGAGAATTGATAGCAGGCCTCAAAGATTGAAATAGTTAAATAAAATTTCAGAACTGTTCAATTTTACAAAATTAGTCAAAATCTTTAAAGAATTGCAGTTAGGTGAAATTTTTTATTATCCTTATTCCTATATAATTATTTGCTTCCTCTGTCATTTTGTCATGCGAGGCCTCTTGCTAATTTCACCCAACTTATGATGCACGATGCACCTAGTAAACTAAAATTTTTAGGTTAAACGTATGTTAGGATACTGTAATTCACTATCCTAATCCGATGGTCGCATTTATTGCTTAAACAAATGTGGATTATATTGTAAATTTAAAAAAATCGTGATTTTAATTCAATTCATTTACATACAAAGCTGAAATTTTCACTTCTTATGATATAACAAAATTAAAAGATAATACAATAAAAGGCCAATTTAAATATCAGCATATTCCTATACAAATATAGCATTAAAACTTATTTCGCGCACACTTTCTTTTCAATAGTGTAACATTTTAAACTTAAAATTGTCTTCTTCGTAAATTTATTAACGAATTAAAAATGAAGTATAGTAAGTAGTATCTTTAAGATTCTCATAAGTGACCCAAAAAATTCTTTTTTTTTCAGTGCGTTTAATAGAAAGAAAGGTTTTAATTATTTTTTGAAGATTTATTTTTATATTTAGCTGTCATCTGAGCACTCATTTCACTTGCTCCATATTACACAATACACACATTCATCACCACAAGCAGGACGGTGCAGTGTCTACAACAGGTCTTCATTTGGTACAATTAGAAGCATTCCTCCATGCTTCAATGTTTATGAGCGACAGATCCTTTTTTCACTAAAAAGATTATTATAGCTCGGTGGTGATTTTCGAAAAAATAAGAAGAGTAAGGAAACTAGGAGCGTGAAGACAGGCGGCTATTGTGTACTCTTTCTCAATCCGACGTAAGAAACGTGGTTAAGATAATACAGACAAAAGATCCTGTGCAGACAGCATTGATCTGCGGCGTCCAGTTTCCTCTAAAAGACGCTTGTGGTTGAGTATGTTTTACGTTCATGCAGCTGGTAGGAGTTGACGCACACGTTCTATAATTTAATTTTATGGCCAGGAAAATATTTGAGAACTTCTAACGGTCCAAGAATTTCACAAACAAACGAGTCATAGCAATTTGACAAATATTTCAGCATCGTCACTTTCAGTGATATGTATTTGAGGGGAAAAATAAGAAAGCGACTTCAGGATTTACAAGAAAAAATTTTCCATGTAAAGATGGCTTGGGGAGCTGATTTAGACCGCCAAAGATGACACATCACTGGCTCACCCATTCCGCAGGGTTTATCTTTTCATCTTTTACTCCGATCTTGTTAGTCAAAATCCGGCAATTTCTATGTAGTTGATTTCAGTATATATATACCCAACAAAGAGTACAAGTGGCTTCCTTCAGTAATTAGAATCCAGTCTGTTGTTTCTTAGCAATCAATAAGCAGATTGCTTCTGAAATCTATTCATGACGCATGGGAATGACCAACAGTTTTATCGAGCTGCAAAATGAATTTTTTTAGACGAGTTGTAAAAAAAACTTTAACGTAAAAGATCTTTTCGATGATATCTGTGGTGAAAAGCTTCCTAGAAAAACCAAAGATACTTAGATCTGAAATTCGTGCCGCTCTTCCCAAAATGAAATCGAATAAAGCGCCAGACCCAGAAAAGATTAAAGAATTATTAAAGATTAATTAAATTAATTAATTAAATTAATTAATTAATTAAATTAATTTAATTAAGTAATTAAAGATTTAAAAAGTAAAAAATTAAATTGTTAAAGAAATTAAATGCCTTGATAAATTTAGCGTTGAAAAAGTGACAAAAATTTTGATATATAACATATGAGATATAAAATATGGGCGAAATTCCTGAAAATCTATCCAAGGAAATATTTATTGCACTACCTAAAAAACCTAATGCAACCGAATGTGAACTACATCAAACAATCAGCTTGATGAGTTATCTTACCATTTGTGAATTCTAATGAGAGCACGAAGCAAAGTCAAATCTGAAATTTCAAATTTCCAATGTTGTTTTGTCAAAGATTGTGGCACAAGAAACGCTATTTTTATGCTACGAATGATCAGTGAACGAGCGATTGAAATGAAGAAAGACTTGTTCATATTTTTTGTCGATTACTCCAAAGCTTTTGATAACTTGAAACACGTGGAGCATAAAGAAATACTGGAAAATTTGGACATTAATGGAAAAGACACAAGCGAGTTATCAAAAACCTCTATTGTGACCAAAGAGCAACGAGTAAAGTTGGTAACAAGATGACTTGTTTTGTTAAAATAAAGAAAGGTGTTAAATAAGGCTGTTTATTCTCTCCAGACTTGTACAATCTCTATAGTGAGATCATCATGAGAAAGATATAAAATCTATCTTGAATATCCATTGGAGGCGTGAATATAAACAATGTAAGATATGCTGATGGTACAGCTCTTATAGCGGAGTCAATGGACAAACTATAAACAATTGTTTCCAAATTGAATTTTGAAAGTGAAAGAAAAGGATTGGAAATTAAATCAACTAAACAAAATGCATGGTTATCAGTAAAAGCAAAACCGCCCCAATCTACTCCATGATCATTAATGGTAAACATGTGAAACAAGTCAACAGCTTCCATTATCTCGGAAGTCTGATTACCTCGAGTTGTAAATGTGATGTGGATATCAAACGAAAGATAGCTATAGCGAAAGATGCATATTTTAAAATGAAAAACATCCTCAACAACGGTAAAATCAGAATATCAATAAAATTAAAACTGTTAGAGTGTTATATTTTTCCTGTGCTCACTTACGGCTTTGACTCTTGGAAAATTTCTAATGAAATCTGCTGCGATGTGGTTTTTGAGAAAAATTATGAAAATTAGTTGGACCTCTATACCTCTAATGAGTATGTATTAAAACAGTTTGGTTATGAAGAGAGGAAATTACTAGAAATAATCTGAAGAAAGTAGTTAAAGTTTTTTGGTTACATCATGCTTCCGCAATGAAGGAATGGAAAATTTAACCACTACTGAAAAAATTGCAGGGAGAAGAGATCGCGGTCAACAACGAATTACATTCGAGAAATCCTTGTGTCACTAGTTGAATATCACCACATTTCAACTACTACAAATTGTTAAATATTGGGTTTTGTGGAGGTCGATGTCCAATGTCCTGAAAAGATAAGGCACAAGAAAGAAAAAGAAGAAGCATAAGCAGCGGTCATACAGCAAAAGATGTATTTTGAAACAAAAAAAAACGGTTGACTTCTTGCCACAAAACATTGTGAAGATAGGACAAAAACCTGGCAAAAGGGAAGTGTCAAACTCCAAGTTATGCAGGCGATTGAGTTAGTTTTCGATTAGCTGCTTTCTGTTTTGGGGTTTCAACAATATTAGACAGTCACTTAAAGAAAAAATTAAGCAAAGGTCGTTTAAAAAATAAAGCTCTTTTCATTGATTCAACAGAAAAGAAATTGGTGGGTTATCTCTTTTTTGTAATAAAAGCGGATTTGGTATAACACCAAAAGAAGTAAAAAAATTAACGAATGACGATGCTGAAGTCAATCACACATCAAATAATTTCAAGAGAACATTACCAAGCATCAGGTCAAGTTTAGTTATATCACTAAAAAAAAATACAAATATATCACTTACAACACCTGAAGGTTTAGCAACACAAAGCTTAAGAAAAGTTCTAGCATATTTTGGTATTGTTCAAAAACTATATTCGATTACAATTTTATTCCAAAACAAGTTTAGAATATGAATGAAGTTCTTTTACTGAAGTTCGTGATCCATAAAATATTGTAAACTAAAGAAATAAAACACAAAACAATTCAATAGTTTTTCGGTTTGCAAATAATTGCTGTTTCGTTTTTTACACCTTACAGGCTAAAACAAAACTGGCGACTAATTACCTTCAATAGCTAATTTTTATATTTCAAGTTAATTTTATTAAATGTTTAATAGTGAAATTATTGTATTGAATTTTTATGTTCAAATTTAATTGATAATTAAATAACTAAATGTTCGGCTTTTGCCTAATTTTCCCCATTTTGAAGCAAGTGTTGAAACTATTCTATTATCTTAAAATAACATAAATTAAAACTTATGAATTTAAAAGAATATCACACACTAACTAACCATGTAAATGATGATGAAAATTCGGGCTGTCGGGTACCTCCTCAAGAACAATCCTATTCTCATGCTGTTACATAAACATCACCAATTATTACACACAAACATACGCTTAAGTACGTATTATATTGGTGCATAATAGCGCTGCACTGACCGTTGCTTAACTCCGGCAAGATATACCTGAGCTAAGCAGATAATATCTGACAGTATTTTGCTATCCGGCAATATTCAATTCTAACCGAACATCATTGCAGGATAGTTTGACAGATAGTCAGAAGTATAATTTTAGTGCCTATATTTGTACATGTAAAGATTGGGCGTGGATTTATTAATGTCTGATATGATATTGACGCACGTGAATGTGTACACATGAATAGGATTTTACAATGTTATATCCAATTCAAGACTAAAGGTTTTGCTCTAAAATATACGAAAATGCGCCAAACATGTTATTAAAAAAACAGTTTTCTAGTTAACATCTGTCCAACAAATTTTATTTTTGAACATTTTTATATTTGTATGTTTATTTAATCTATTTCCATTGTTCTGCATATTTTATTTTTGAATATTTCTATATAACCTTTGAACAACGTTAAATTACTTTTTTTTTATTTTGGTTGTATACATGTTTAATGACATTATTTCCTATTGTCGGAGTTAATTGGTCCAAATCTAGGGTACATACACTAGTCAAGAGCTACATTCTTTTTCGTATATTTTTTATAGTCTCACATATATTTGTAATTATTTCTCATGAATAAACCTGTACAAAAAAATTAGTACTCGGTAGGCAAACTGGTTATTACAAAAGCGCGTGAATTCCAGCCAGCCTTATAAATGAAAATGTAAGCTGTAATGAAAACAATTTTTTCATATTTCAATTTCCTAATTTTTTATATTCTTTTAACATGATTGCTGTTAAAAGCTTTCATTAAAGTTTTAAAAAACGGGACGTAGTCCAAAAAACTATCGCAAAAAATATATATATATATGTACACCTGCATAAAAATATATATTGATATAATAAAAGTATATATTGCAAGCAATGGAATAACACAAAACCTGAATCTATCTATAGTATTTGCAGCCATCTTGACCTTACGAGTAACCTTGCCGTCAAATGGCGATTCCTTCATAAACGATGGAAAACGAGCTCGAACTGTAAAAACATTTTTCAAAATATTAATCTATAAATAAAACATGTGGTGAAATGTAATAAGTCTGCTCGAACCAAATTGTCTACAATGTAATGTATATTCAAATACAATGTAAATACAATGTGGATTTTACATCAACAACTTTATGTTTTGTACATTTCCAACAAAAATCCCAAAATAAATATAGGCACATGGATAAAAAAAATTTTCTAAATGTTGAATTTAAATAGTGGAAACTAACCATCTTCATCATCAGTACTGTTGTTCATGTGCACAGCCGCAGAACTGCCCCTTATGGCCGAGGATTCTGCTTCTCTGCACTGTTTCTGTAATTAATTATTCATTTATTTACTCATTCATTCACTCACTTGTTTATCAATTCATCTATTCACTCATTAAATCATTTATTCATAATTTCATCCTACCACCAAATCAGTCCAGCAAATAAGTCTCACTTAACTCAGTAAATTGCAAAAATTATTAAATCGAATTTAAATTATTTACAAAAATAAAAAGTATGAGATTATCAGTTATAATGGTTAACAAACATATTCTATTTTTAATGTATGTAAGTATGTATGTATATATATTTGTACGTACGAACGTAACATAACAATTCTGCCCAAGTTGCCGGTTAGCATCGAAACTTCTGAACGGGTCACTGTATAGGTGACCCAATGTTACCGGGAAGAAAAATTTTTCTTTCGAGAAAAATACAAATGAGGTGACACTTCCAAGTCCAGCTTTTAACGAAACAGAAACTAAAAAAGAAACAGATACAAACAAGTTGTCACGTTTCCGCATATAAAAGGTAATTCAGGCCCTTACCGACATAGTCGATAACATTAAAATAAACAAAAGCAAAATAATTTTAAAAATGGTGAAAAACTACAAGAGGTAAATAGAATTCATACAGAAAAAAGTAAAATGCTCCCCTCGCAAGATACAAATTATTCAAAGGGGTAATGAAAATAAAGATTATAATTACAAGGAAAAATAAACAGGTAGTCAAAACCAACACATACATCACCTTTCAAATCCCTAAAACAATAATCTGTCACGAAAGAATTTAAGTAAAGGAATACATCTCAAATCCAAGGAGGTGTACGAAATGCCAACTTAACGGACTGTACGTAGTAACTGCAGAGAACTAGGGAATGAATATACATGAAAAAAAACTGTGCAAAAAAGTTATGAAATTTTATCAATGTGGAGAAAAACACCAAACAAACATACTGCAGAGTGTACTGAAAGCAAAAAAATAATTAAAATAAAAAACAAAATAACATACCTTAAAGCAAAACAAGTAAGAAAACACAACACATGCCAAAATAACTAAAAATATCACCAAAAAAGTAGATAACATGCAATATAATATAAGGATGAGCCAGCAATACATGTAAAAGACAAATGTATCAAACAGACTGAAAATTATGCATACAAGATAATGGAGAATGGAGTATTTTTCTCAAAGACCAAAACAACCCGCATCCCACGCTGAAACACGAGAAAGAAATTAATTCCAAAAATCAAACTTCAAAATGAAAATATAAAATTTATAATTAAAGAATATATATTTTGAGGAATCATTTGATGATAAATTAACCTTCACTCCTCCAATAACTAAAATGAAAATTAAATGTCAAAAAACATTGAACCTAACAAAAACAATTTCTCATCATAATTGGGATGCAGACCAAAACAATCTCTTAAAGATTTATCGATCCACACTAAGAACCATCCTTGATCACAGATTCTTAATCCAGTCTATAAACAAATAAACATCAAAACAAACATCTTTCAAGTCAAAAAATCAAAGACAATACCTACAATAAATAAAAGATTGGAAAACCATTAGGAAACAATAAGGAAAATAAAGATAATGCATGAAGTAAAGCCAATTCACCATATGATCGATCATAAAATGTAAAAAAAATATATACTGTGGGCATATATTTAACTTGCATTACCCTCAAGAAAGATCGATTTAGAACGGGGGTAGAAAAACGGGGGGTAGAAAAAAATTGTAATAGATTTCATGGCTGAAAACTGGTTGCTTTGAAATTTCGCTTATAAAGGTTGATGGATGCAGTAGAAAACGTGGTCATGCTATTAACTTTTAAGTTTTTAACATGGTCATGCATTCCGCCTTCGAAAAGGGTCAGTTTTATAGGGGAGATTAAAAAGCATAGTCAAACATTTTAAAAATGGACGAAACTTAGTGGCGAAATAATTGGGAACAATTTAAAATTCAGGAACGCTCAGGAATATTTACTTTTTTAGTGTATCAATTGATACTCAATTGGAATTGTTCTTACAGAATTGCTTCACTTACTTCCAATCTTTCCAACTGCAGCAACAAAGAATTCTTCTCTGTGCTTAGTGATTCAACAGCAGTCTGTTTCTGAATCAGACTTTCGGTTAAGTGATGAAGTCTGTTTTCTAATTCTTCCTGACTTGTAGCGTTCAATGATTTGGTAGTCATCTGGCATTCAAAAAATGCACAATATTTTTTAAAACAACAAATGCAAACGTTAAAAATGCACTCTAAACAATAATAAGGAAACAAAATAATAAAGAAACAGAATGAAAAAGAAATGCTCATTACGAGTTTAATTTTAATTATGACTGTAATTTTGAATGTTCAACTAATCAACAGCGATTTATTATCATGTGAGTGCTCGATTGTTGTTCGATGATTATCGTAAAATAAAAAGAAGCATTCATCATAAATGAATAATTGATAGGGATAATTGATTGATAAATAATTGATATTGATAGTCGGTATTAACGTAGAGCGGTGGATGACATAAAATAAATTAGATACTGACCAGATTTCTCAGTCTTTGTATTTCCGTTTCTCGGTCCTGCAATTTTATCTGGAATGCTGTTTTTTGTTTCAAAGTATCTTCATGTATATATCTCAGCTCCTGTGCCAAACATCACAATCATCGATATTCTAGTTATATCATAAAATGCACTTTAATAAATGAAACAAATGTGGTAAAAAAAACTCTAAAATCAGATTATAACAATGTAATGTTTCAGATTACAATTTACGCATAAATTACAAATTTTGATTTCAACAAAATTTCTGACAATCACAACAAGAAATCGCAAATTATCGTGGTATTATGTTCGTTGTCTTCCTATTTTAAAAGTTTCGTGTGCAACATTAAACTAAACTTTAACTATTACATGTAAATTTAAAAAAAGTTTAAATCATAAATTTGAAAGCTCAACTGTAATTTTTGAAAATTGAAAATTGAAATTTATGTTTATTAAATTTTATTTGCAAGCCTGGAATTCCACGCTTAATATTTCTGAACTGTTACAAATATGGCTCGTGTTTTAACACAACACAGAAACGTTGTTCAGAACATACAAACTCCATAAACTGTCTTCCTATTTTAAAAGTTTTGTGTGCAACATTAAACTAAACTTTAACCATTACATGTAAATTTAAAAAAAGTTTAAATCATAAATTTGAAAGCTCAACTGTAATTTTTGAAAATTGAGAATTGAAATTTATGTTTATTAAATTTTATTTGCAAGCCTGGAATGCCACGCTTAATATTTCTGAACTGTTACAAATATGGCTCGTGTTTTAACACAACACAGAAACGTCGTTCAGAACATACAAACTCCATATACTGATTCGAAAATGTCTAAAAGATATAAACAGTTTGCACTTTGAAGATCATGTTGAATCAACTAAAACCCATTCTTGTTTTGCACTGGTAGGTAGAAGCCAACTATACTTGCGCAAAAGAAACATTTAAAGAAATTGTATTAAAAACACTGAAAATGCGTGAAATGGAACTACATCATATATACAAACTCTGCGCAAACACCATTGATCCGAAGCATCATTTCTTCAAAGGTCCCGGTGATTGGTCATGTTTCACAATCATCGTGCAACAGCGTCGGGATGACGTAAGCGTTGTAGAGTTTGATTTTAATAGTTAGTGAGATGTTTGAGTGCCATATGTTGCGGTCCAATGACTTTACTTCTACATAATCGAGTCGTGGCGATTTGGCGAGATATTTCTGCATCACTACTGCCAGTGAAAGCCAAGGTAAGTGAACGAACCCACAATTTGCGCGATGTTATTCATTACCGATACAGTTTCCAACATTGGGCAGCCAGCAGAGATGACTTGAATCTTGGTGTGTCTCAGTATATTTCAAATCCAAAATAACTGATCTGACACCACCAACAGCCTCGAACCACTAAAAACATTCTCCATGTGGCCAAACATAACGAGTAAATGGGACTCAACAAGGAAAAAGAATTTAGAAAAAAGAAAACTCTGATTTCAAGCCTCTACTGCCCTGTTGCTATACCTTTTCTAAGAAAAGAATAAGGGAGTGAAGCAACTACAAAAAATCAGGCGTGGTAATACGTCTCTAAGGCGATTCAACTGCTTCAATCCCACTTCGGCTCTCTACCTACATGTCCGTCTGGAAATCAACTGCGAACACCCATTACAGAAGGAACAGTCCATGAAGTCATATAACATATCAATCTCACACCGCATCGCTGGTCGCGCGGGTTACCAAAGTTCGTCGTCAGCCCGATGTGTTAAGAAGGTCACGACAATTAATCCAAATCTCATAATCCTAATTTTTTTCTCCAAAAACATATCCGTGATAGAGCTATCCATTTGACTTGTGAGCTAAAACAAAGCTTCTGTTTGTTCCGCCCGCCTGACAATCAACCTAGATTAACCGGTGTTGTCTTTCCCCTAAATGATAAAGCAAACCGTGCGTTGACCAAATGGCATCCGGTTAGCGACAGATTCATTGGTAGCTCGTTTCTTGTTTTGGTCATTGATATAGTGTTATATTGGTGATTGTCTGCTACTCAATAACAAATGAAGCGGCGGACGAGGTTAAACGTCAATTTTCATTTGCGCGAAAAAATTCACTTTGCTTCACTATATCTAACTAAATTATCATTCGTTTTGGTAACTTGTCACCACCAGCCCATTGTGGTTGGCCCATTTGGCAGCGGGACACTAAACAAAAACACCGGTCATTCTTTTAAGTTTTGCGTTTCTGCAGGACTAAAGGTCTGCTGTTCTTGGTTTCGCGAAAAAAATACATAGACTGAAATGGCATTCAAATGATGGAATCATATCTAAAGAAATTAGGCAGCATGTGGCAAGCAGTTCGTAACTGTCATGTTTAGTCACAGCATTGGAATTCGACACTGACCATTTGCCAGTAATAAGCCGCTAGGAAAGCAATATAAGCTAAAAAAAGATTGAGTAATGTGATGAAAATTTTGGAGGTGAAAAAAACACTGCAAAGATCAAACCAGTCGTAGCATTAAACAAAAGAAAACAAGAAACAAGCGCATTATCTAAAAATCAAAATCATGACATGTAGAAGATTTTGCGAATAAGATAATGTGGGGTGAACATTTTTTAATTTACGCTTTTTTGAGCAATATAAAAAGTGTTGTTAAAGAAATCAATCAAGCAATTAACCACACAACTACCTGTTTGTACTTGTTCACATCAGTCTCAACATCTTCCCTCCTCTTCCTCTCTCCATCAAGTTGTTCCTCCATCATCCTCATCTGCTCCTTCAATGAATCTATTTCCTGCTGCATCTGACTTTCCACCTCCTTTTAAATAATAAAATAATTCCTTAACAATGCCAATGAGTAACAAATGTTTTGTAAAAACCAAACTTTATATTCAAGTCAACATATAACAAGTTGAATCAGAGCAGGCAAAACAAAAATACAACGTTTAAAGGTCGACATCTACATTGAGAGGGACAAACCATGAATTCAGTTCTCAAATTTTGCAAAGCCAAATGACACGAATTGTAATCATCTCTCAAGACATCTCGTTCTTGTTTCAAACTTTCCAGTTCAGTAGCTTGTATGCTTGGCTCGCTTGCACCACTGCCATCTACCTTCTCAAATTGACCTTCCTTCAGAGTGGCTATTAATCTGTCTTTACTCTGTACGCATTGTTAACAGAACACAGCATTAAAATTATTCATCAAATAATAACGAATGTTGAAGTCTGCTCCCACTTGGTGACATGTCTACCTATTTTCTAAAACAATTCGGAATATAAATAAAATAAAAAGAAGAACTGACCTGCAAAATGCGAGTAGCCTTGTCCTTGTACTGAGAAAGTTCTTGTTTTGCAGTTTCTGCTAAAGTTTTCGCCGCTCTTACTTGGTTCATCATATCAACTACAGAGGCTAAATAATTTTTTGTAGAAACAAAAACTGATAAGTACTGTATGTGATTGATGGAAAATTAGACGAATAATAATGAAATGATGCAATATAAATAAATGGAAGTTGTGGGATAAACTATCTTGAAGGTACGTTAACAACGGCCAGAACATGTCTGAAATTGGATGTCGTGAGCATTTGTGGCAAAAAGCTAAAAAGAGAAATACGCAATCATAACGGACTTTACACCTCATAACGTTAATTTAGTAACTGTCGTTTCAATATGATTAAACTACAGAGCAATAGATTAGGGCATAGCGATTGTGCAAAGGTAGAGACTGGATTCAACTGCAAGATAGGCCCTCGCCTTGCCAATCACATACAATGTATGTGATGCTTTGTTTCACGCGTATTAACATGCTTTGTGTGTCTGTTGCTGATACCTCTGAAAAAATCAAAAAAAGAATTGTGATGAATAGATAAAATGTTACTACAGAAACCTTTTTCCCTGGCCAGCGTTCTTTGCAGATTACTTGTCTCACACGTTAAATTATCCCTGTCTGATTCCAACTTTCTTATCTTCTCTTGACTTTCGTTCTGCATATTTGGACATTAACAGACAATAGTGTTAAAGGTGTATAAGAACATTTTCAAAAGAGCAACATAAAATTAGTAAAAAATTTTATTTGCTCATATAAATTGTAAAGAAAGAAACCAGAAGTGTGGAATAGCGATCGGCCTCCTGCCTGACCATCAGTTCTGCTTCTTTCAACTTATCTTGCAATGTATCCAAGGCATGTGTCTGCACTCCTGTTGATAAGCTGTGGTCCTGCAACAAACTGATGTACGACATATTTTTTTGACAAACTGATGTGCGACATTATTACAATAATCACCTAAGATATAGTTAAATACAAAAAGCCACATTAAAACAACAACTTTCATAAATTTGGAGTTCATGATTAACAAGCGATCGTAAGCTTTGCAATAAAAATAGATTTAAATTTTCAGGTACACATTTAAAATGATTTTCAAAATTCAGAAACTAATTTAAAGTCTAATTATGTTACAAAAAAAAGTTAAACTTAAATTGAACTAAGATATTTGACATGCAATGACCTCAATCTACTGTTTTAAGAGCAAGTTCAATGAAAAATAAAAAAAAATAATTTTCTTATTTATTTATCTGGCAAGTTTTGCAACGTTTTAAAAATAATTTATTCAATCTAAAAATTCTTCTACATATATTTCCAGGTACTGGTATCATTTAGTTTTACCTAATTGTAACTTTTCAGATATATAAGTTTCAATATCACAAAATTTTAAATAATATTAGTTTACCAGTGTTTATTATCAATGATGGACAAATAAATAAGACAACAACATCAACATTTGTGTTTAAATTTTCGTTTTGTGATAGCAAGCACATTTAAAAATAAAAATAACAAACAAAAACATGTCATTTTACAAACAACACGAAAATAAGAAGCAACCAACTTTTCTTTCTCCACTTGGATATCTTGAATTTTTTTGTTTTTCAATTTAAGAGAAGCATCTGCTTCTTCCAGTCTCACCCTCAAAACACTCAACTGTGTGTCCTTTGCATCAAGTGCTTTCGTCAAGTCTGATTCTCGTTCCTGCAGTTCTCGAATAATTTGCTCCTTCTTAATCATCTGCTGGTTCTGCAACTCCATCTTTTTAATAGTTCTATCTCGATCTGAATAAATCCAATTATAAAAAAATTCAACTAATTGCAATTGAACAGAAAAACAATAAGGTCAACAAAATTATTTAAACAAAGTTTTAATCAAAAATTTTTTCATCTTTAGAATATTCTACTTGAATAAATTATGCCTTTAAATTATAGCGCAATTTTCAATTTATTTTACACCAAGGATTACATTTTATTGAAAAATAAAACAAATTAGAACGAATTAGAACCTTCTTGATTGTTCTGTGCACGAGTTAATATCGATTGCATTTCTATGTTTAAGGAATTAATTTCACTTTTAAGCAACTGATTTTCAAATTCAATGGCAGATGGATTGGGTAGCACCTCATTGTCATTATTGGTACCATCTTGTTTGTACACCACACTTTTCGCTGTTGATGTTGTTTCTTCAGCTGGGGCTGACCCACGATCATCTTGCTTATCGTTTTCAAATTCTTTTAATTCTTGTGTTTTATCTATATATATCAACAATTAAATTTCAATATCATTTAATTTCTGCCTATAAGGTTTATAAAATGTAAGCATACCAGTGTTATCATTTGTAAATTTCAGCAAATTGCTGTAAGAATTCTTGGAAGCTGTTAGTTTGTTTGATAAGGACGATGTTGGTGGCAATGGAGGTGAGCTATTGAGAAATTCAAATAGCTTGTGATCAGGATCTTCTGGACAGTTATTTTTAGGAGTTTTAGAAGTGTTTGTAACTTTTTCTGATCTTTTAGAAACAGGAGGTTTGTAGACATTGAGTTCCGTTGTTACTAACGAACCATCAGTTGCCCCAAGCGATCTCTTCCATTGAGATTCGTCTGATGAGTTGTTCTTGTCTGGTGTGTTCTGCAATGCCTGGCCAGCAACCTGGTCAACTTTGTTTAATAAATTTTCAGTTTTGGCCGCAAGTGTCTCGAACCATGACATCTCTAACTTTTTTGTGGCTCTGCATCATGGTAAGAAATATTTAAAATGAAGTTTGAAGTCAAAACAATGAAATTAAAATGAATTAAATCAAATCATTAATTCAGTTAATAAATATTAAAAATTTAAGACAGAAAAAAAGAAAATTATTCACTATTAAACTAATTTAAAATTTTAAAATGAGTCATGCATGCCATCTCATTTGTAGTTGTCTTAATAAAGCCAACAACAGGTAAATTTGTAAATGTAAAAATCATATATAAAAAACAAATAGTAGATTAATTTAATAATTAAATTATTATAGCTGAATTTCTAAACATTTAACTGGGCTCTACCTAAAATTTGCAAAACAATTTCAAGGAAGTACCAATAAAAAATATAAAAAATAAAAATAAAAAAGTAAAGAAAAAAGCATGCATGAATATTCAATGAATATATTATAAATTATAAACATAAAACTATTAAGAACATTTAATTTTTAATAAAAATAATAAAAAAAGAAGCAAAATAAAATAAAAATAAAATAAAGATGATATTTCAGAGTCTAAAAAAGTTATTTTTAATTTTTACCTAATTTATAGTTTAGTCATTTCATTTTAATTTCAATAAATGAATTGTAATGGAATAAATTTATAAAAAAAGCAATGTATGTATTTTTTTTTCAGTTTACTTTTTATTTTATTTTGGTTAGAGTAGCATTAATAGTGGTAGGAGTACTTAGAGTTAGAGCAGTAGAACTTTAATTTTATAAAATAAATAAGTTCTATATTACTTTTTAAATATTTAAATTCAATAGGAAAAAATATAATAATAAAATTATTAACGTGGCTTTATCCTGGATTGAGTTGTATAATAAATCCACTTTTAATTTTCTTATTTTTGTGAATATTTGTCAACAGTTTCAGACTCGACCAGCAAGCTTGATATTTAACACTCAATACTTCTTATGTGGCCAACAAGCACCTTTTATCAAATTTGAAAATTTTGGAAATATTATTTATTCTAAATTGTAAAATACGCAGTTGAACTTAACGTTGACTCATGTACTTAAAATAATCCAAAATAATTTGCGTTCTTATGGGCTCATATGAATTACGAAGAGTGAAGTTTCGACATCTATCCGTCTACCTTGCGATAGAGAAGTATTAGAGATCTGATTATGCTGTATAAAATGATGAAATAGAAATCTGATGACAAAATATGTCTTCCCGAGCTAAAAAAATTTCTAATTAGTTATCATTTTTTATTGTTGTTTTGTTATATACTACATAGTTAACTATACAATTTTTTCAACTATATACAACAGAAGACAAAAAACTGTGTATGAAAGTGTCAAGGAAAGAAAGCTGGGTATCTTTGGGCACATCTGCAGAATGACAGACGACAGACTGATCAAAAAAATACTGATGAGAAAGAGGGACTGGAAGACCTGTGAGAAAGTGGATGGATGATATCACGGAATGGACGGGGGTTGGAACATTGAGCTCAATGAAGATGGCGAGGGAAAGAAAAGGATTTTGGAGAGGTAGAAGAATACCATCGGCCTCAACGGTCCCTTAAGGGATTACAGAGGATCATTGAATGAAATGAATGAATGAATACAACAGAAGACTACATAATGACAGATGCAAACATTCACACACTTTTGAAGCAACAAAACTACAATAAACACCAAGTCACAACTATTCGATCTGTGTAGAAAAATTTCGGATAACCTACTATTACTACACTGTCTTGATTTTTTCTATAATATTATCCGTTGTTATAATCCATATAATCATTATACTGTCGAGTTTTTTGTAACATTTTGCACAAATTTCAATTTCTGTTTCACGTATGTATGTTCTAATCCATTCTCTTATAAATCGGCATGAACTTTGTAACAAGTTATTTATTGGAGTTTATGTTTTTGAAATTCGTTCAAAAAAACCAACTTGAATGATTCACGAATAACCAGGATTTTGCGTAATTCAATTAAAAAATACAGTTGCTTTTTCGGTTTAATATTTTAAAACCTCTGAAAGATTTGATATTATGCAAAAGGGACATGGTAAAGACAGTTGCATAACTATTTTTAGTAAAAATCAAATCTGTGTAATGATAGGTAATTAATAATAATAGGTATGATGATAATAATAATAGATTTGACGGCATACAGTACAGTGCAACTACTTTAATCTAAATTTATGTTTGTTGGGGCAAAAGCTAATAAAAGACATTTCAATTATTATCGTTCATAAAATTTATACAATAAAAAGAAGAGATTGAACATTGATGTATATATGACACCGACCATTGAAATATAAAAAAGAATTGAAATGTCGTACTTGATCTGGAAGCGTTTGCGTCATTAAACCAAATAGTTTTTGTCGATCACCAAACCCATGCCGTCTTGGATATTTCTGGACCATTTAAAATTAAAACGTATGTGTGACGTCATTGCTGATCTCTCTTCCAGTAAAGTTATAAAGGAGAAAATATGATATGGCAACAACATACTAAACGCTGATCCATAGTTATAGAAACTGGTTAGTTTTTTTATATCTATGCACTGACAGAAAAATTCAAATATGTATAAGTTTACAGATGAGAAGAGATTTAATATAAACGCTACCATTCAATATTTACAGTTTTTTCATTTTTTTCTTTCTGAAAAATAAATAGGTAAAGGTTCATCAAGATACCGTAACATGATTATTTTATCAAATAAAAAGTAGTGACGAGCGAAAGTTTCACTGAATCACACAAAATGTTTATTTTAAGCCCGCGAACATTTTGTAAACTGTTATTATTACTATTATTGTTTTTATCATCATTGTTGTTGTTGTTGTTATTATTACTATCAGACGTGTCCTTCAAACAATGTCTTGCACGTAGAACATGTATCTACTTGGACAATCCGGTCAGTATTGATCCCGCCATCCCGATTATAATTGCTACTGCAAGTACCAGATAGTTCTTCCAGCCCTGAGTATTAATTTTTGTTCCGCAAAAATATTTTGGGCAAAAATGATTTTATAAGAATAATAGTTATTAATTATAATAATAATAGAAATAATATCTTCTAATATAAAACAAATAGTATTTGCGTATTTGTTTGTGCGTATATCAGGAACGTGGTAGTAATTTTGTGGATGTTTCAATAAGAATTAAACAAATAAAATGTAGTACCGTTATCTCTCTGAAGAACAGTCCCCACAAGGCTGCTATTATTCCAGGAATCTTTTAAATTTGATGAAAAGATTTTTATGAAATTATTCTCTTTTAATAATATTAAATTTATAACGAATGAAATTGCAGTGGAATTATTTTAAAATAATAACTTCAAGTTTATTTCAAGATATATTCTTTATTACTCAAGAGAAAATAATCGTGAGCGCAGCTCATATGCTCACATCCAGGTAATTTAACCAAATAATAATAACCCAAATTAATAAAATCCATAAATAAATATGTGGTATGACTAAAGTAAAAAATTACATTAACCGAAATGTTATATTTAAGAACAAAAAATTATGCAATCTGTTGGCTAAAGAAAAAAATCTTATATAACATGGAAATCAATAACTGAGGCAAATTTTGTCGGTCAACACATTTTTTTTCTTGAACTTACTGTAGCGACAATGGGGAACGATATTGATTCCGAGAGTGCGTCGTTGGCGATGAACCAGCCTATGCAGGCCGTCCCCCACATCAGACCAGACACGTAACCAGGAAATATTATATTGGAATATATGATTGGATTATTTTTGGATACGATTGAATACGCGATAAAATAAATTGTACTGGCAGACAGAATGCCACAATAATGCGGGAAGACGTAATCCAAACCTGCAAAATATTTTCATGAGTAAATAATATTGCATAAAATAGTTTCATGATATATTTAAATGTATATTTATTAATGAATAATTTTAAAGACAAAATTTTGAAATGTAAAATTTTCATAAGTCGTCGACCATTTTGGCTGGAGCCAGGAACATTATCTTTCAGGTAGACGACAGGGATGAACACCAGCCCGTACATGATGCCGGCAATCACTGCCATCAGCGTTCCTCTTTGGAGGGCAGTCGTATGTTCATTCAATAGAAAATTAAAGGTTATTCATATTTAATAATTAACAGAAATACATTCAGGCGCATTGTTTAACAAAATACTGACTTAATTTTTAAGAAATAACTCTTTTTATAAAATGGTTGGTTATCTTCATCAGGCGTAATCTGTAATTTGAAAAAGATTTCAAAATGTAAAAACTAACTTTAAAATTGAAAATAACTTTAGAAATGTAATCCGTTCTAAAACAGTTGGTTTAGATTCAAATGAAGCATTGTTGAAATTGAAATATGTTGACATTCGGTACATACATACATACATACATACATACATACATACATACATACATACATACATACATACATACATACATTCATACATACATACATACATACATACATACATACATACATACATACATACAATACAATACAATACAATACAATATATTTTATTTGACCTCAAAAAAAAAAAAACATAAAATTAAGATACAGGATGACTGTGAGGAGTCCGCATGTGACTCATCGAGCACAGCCACCTTTACAAGAAATTTCTAATTAATAATATCAATCATGAGACGAGATGAGTTAGTATGTTTGATGTGTCAATGATTACAAGTATGTATGAATAAATGTGAATGAGTGTGAAAGAATGTGAAAGAGTATGAATGAGTGTGAATGATGAATACATTAGATGATTATACTGAAGCGTTCAGTAAAATATTTTTCAGTTTTTTTCTAAATGTTGCCTGCACTTTTGTATATAAAACAGAATTTAAATCAAAATTAATTATCAAATTATTCCATATTCGTGGTCCGTTGCATAAAATATGAAAAAATAAAATGTTTGTTTTCGATTTATTGCAACGAATTATGTTTCTGTGCCTATTTGTCAAAACAAAGTTATAATAATCACAAAAAACTTTTGGTAGCAGTCCTGCGTAATGTTTGAAAACAAAAGTAGCACAGTGATACATGTGAAGATTTCTGAAGTTTAAGTTGCGTGTTGAGAGAAATAAAATGTTTGTTGACGCATTGTATTTTGAGCAGGTGATGATTCTCATTCCTTTTTTCATGAGCATTTGCAACGGTTGTGTTAACGAGGGATAAGTTGATGCCCAGATGATGTTACAGTAGACGAGGTGAGGAAGGCATATTGAATTGTACAATAAATTTAGAGAGCGTCTTGGTAGAAAGAATTTGATTCTGTTGATGGCGCCCAGGGATCTTGATAGTTTATCTGATACGGAATTTATGTGTTTTTTAAAGGTCAATTTGTTATCCAGAATAATTCACAAAAAATTTGATGATTTTGTTTCTGTTATCGTTTCACCTTCAATAACGATTTTATATGGCTCTTTATAATTAAGTAACTGCACTGGGCCAAAAACCATGAATTTTGTTTTTTCTCTGTTGAGAGTCAGTCTGTTGTTTTTGAACCATTGAATAACTGATTGAACATCATTATTGATCTCATTTATCAACACATTTATTTTTTTATTACTCTTGAATAGGTTCGTGTCATCAGCATACATGACATAATTAAAGCTGTTTGAGGAGTTTGGTAGGTCATTGATATAAATGGTGAACAACAAGGGGCCAAGGATGCTGCCTTGAGGAACTCCTGAATTGATCTTTTGCAGTCTTGAATCATTTTCATTCCATCTTACGTACTGCCATCTATCACGCAAATAACTTTCTAGCAATACATACGTACATACATACATACATACATACATACATACATACATACATACATACATACATACATACATACATACATACATACATACATACATACATACATACATACATACATACATACATACATACATACATACATACATACATACATACATACATACATACATACATACATACATACATACATACATACATACATACATACATACATACATACATGCATGCATGCATACATACATACATACATACATGCCTCGTCTTGTTTATTTTTTGAGAACATACCCTCTGTTGGATGTTTCGATCCTCAATAGTTTTGACGATCACCTCCGTGACGCATTCCAGTCCATCTTCAACAAAAAAATTGGTTGCAGGGGACGCTGCCTATATGTGTTGGTGGCCTGGGTTTGGGTTCCGCGGCTGAGCTGGCACCTTCTGCCTTTTTGGCTGCTGCTGCCACGGTGGCCCTCCAGGATCTGATGTTACCGAGGGATGGGAGTTATGTCGATAACTTCAGAATGCAAGTATACGACATGTGGCGCGCCACCAACGGAGATGTGGTTGCGCTCGAAAACCCCTCGCAAAAACACTGGATCGCCCCCTGTCTTAATAGATCAGTTGATCGATGGCTGCAACTGAATAGCTCTACTTTTGACAAGGCTAGAATTATGGCTGTCAAAAGTGAGTTGGGCTCCGCCTGGTTGAGAGCGCTACCCAACACCTCCTGCGGCACTAGATTGGATGACTCCTGTGTTCGCGTGAGCCTTGGTTTGAGACTCGGAGCCCAGGGGGGCAAGGGTTGATGAACTTGGATACCATAGCCTTTCTTGTCGTCTAGGTCCTGGAAGACAAGCCAGACATACGGCTGTCAACGAATACCTGGTACGATGTTTTCAAAAGGCTGGTATCCCGGTTATAAAAGAACCCATGAGTTTGATAGAGGAAGGAGCCTTTAGGCCTGATGGTTATACTATCACCCCATGGGCTCAGGGACGGTCCCTGGCTTGGGACGTTACCTTACCCCACACTATGGCTGACCGATACATCGGCTACACTTCAGTTAAGGCGGGCACTGCTGCCCTTAAAGCGTCCGATTTCAAAAATGAAAAATACGTTTCATTAAACAATTTAAGCAAAATATTTCAACCCATTTGCATTGAAACGTTCGGACCAACAGATAAGCACACATCATTATTTATTAACGAATTAACAAGAAAAATAGTTAATATAACGGGTGATCATAACGAAGGCAATTATTTAAAACAAACTTTTTCACTTTTATTACAAAAATTTAATTCCTTTTGCATTCAGGATGGAGCTGCTAGATACCTGACTGTGCGAGACCAGGGACATAGATAAAAGTTGAACTCGGAAACGATTGCATGCCTAACCATGGCTTGTTCATCAAAACGGGTTCATACATACATACATACATACATACATACATACATACATACATACATACATACATACATACATACATACATACATACACACACACACACACACACACACACACACATACATACATACATACATACATACATACATACATACATACATACATTACATACATGGATGCATGCATACCCATACATGCATACACATACATACAACATACAAACAAACATATATACACGTACATACATACAAGTACATACCGTGAAAGATTTAGAAGAATAATTTGGGTCGGATTTCCTGTTGTTACTTTCAACAGAAAATTCATTTATATCGCTGTCAGCTGAGTCCGTCTCATCCTCGTCTTCATTGCCGCTCGTTTTTATGAACAGATATATACTAGCACTACAACGTTTTTGTGAATGGTTCAAATGTAAATACACTCATTTGTAAACTGGAATAATTTATATATTTATTATTAACTAGAAAAATGCCAGATAAATTATGAAATGAATATCTTTATATAGATAGATTACCTAATGAGACAAAGGGACACGCCAGCGTAATTCATCGCCTTGTTTTGTGGTGCTTGATCCTTCACACCGAACCAACCATACCTAAATATTTTGAAAATGTTTTATTTTTATTTATTTATTTAAAGTAAAATTTAATTTAAGTAATTATGGCTTTCACGTTTTGTTTAACGTTCGATTAATTTTTTTCATAATATCAAAAATAAACAACGAAACATCATATAGAAGTTGATTATTACTATTATTACTATTATTCCTCATTTGCACTCATCTTCATCGCTGATATTATTCTCCGAATTTTTGATTGAAATTGATTTGTTGTCTTTATTACCTTTTCTAAGATTTTTTATGTTGAATTTTTTTGTGAGTGATTGATGTGGGTGACGGAGCGTTTATTAAATTATCTGATGTTTTTTGCTCCTCTTTTTATTTATTTCGTTTATTTATTTAAAACCAAACAAAGTGGTCTTTGGAGACAAAATAAGGATAATACTTGCATAGGCCACCGTGCCACTACAAAAGATAACATTAAACATTCAAAGCAAGTTTAATAATTAAGTAACTGACATTTTTATACAAAGTCCAATGATGAAAACTTAAAATATAATAATGACATAGTTATTAAAGTACAACAAATAAATAAGGAGGCGGCAGAAAAAATGAATAATTAAACACGGCAAATCAAGATTACACGAATAAACATTTTGATGCATATATATAAAATAATTATATATATTAGATATTATTATTTATCAGTATCATTGTTATTGTTACTGCTGCTCGTAATTTTTGCGTTCGACTGGCCATAGATGTCGTTCAGTGAGCTGATGTTAACGACGCTCTTGGTTCTAGAATAAAAAGCTGCCACGAGGTTGAAAATACATCAAATATATTAAGATAACTCATATTCTAATTTTAATTACGTGCTTTACTTTATTATGATAGAGGTAATTAAATAAAGCAATTTAAAATATAGCCTTAAATACTTGCTCTATTTTTAACACTTATCTATGAATGGTATGATTGCCTCAAAATGTTAGATTAAAATTATCTAAATACACAGTGTAAACCGTTTCAGAAACACTTGAACACGTGATTGAAATTGAATTAAACAATTTTCCACACAGAAGTTTTATACGATTTTACCTTGAGCTAGCCCATCCAGAGAGAAGGTTGAAGGAACCCCAAACTAAAAGGCCCTTGCCAAGTCCAATGCTGTTGATTATGGGAACTGAAGTCAAGTTGGCTGAGCAAAATTAATTGAGAAATTTTTGTTACAAGAACAGATTAATGTTTTGTGTAAATAACAGCGTCAATCTAAAAATTTAAGTAGCCAAATAAAATTTAACATTTTTTAACGATTTTCTCTTTAGCATTTTGCAGGTATCCACAACAAACGCACATTAGGACTGCTTCTGCAATTTTAAGATGCGTGTAGTTGATGTTCTGGTATATTAGTTTCATGTTGCTGTCAAGGATTTCACGGTAATATACCAGAACAGCAACTACACGCATCTTAAAATTGCAGAAGCAGTCCTATTTGACATCAATAAACCAAAAATAAATATACAACAAAAAATGATAACCTCCCTCCCAACCCGGCGCTTAATCAACAACGAAAACAAAGAAGTAGTAAAAAGTAGCATCGTAAATAGTGACAAACAAGAATATGATGATATCGATGAAAAAAAAGGAAACCAACGAAGATGGACCAGCTGCCAATAAAGAAATCTGATACCTAATTTCCATCTAAGTTCACTTTCACAAAGTGAATATTTTCCTATATAAATAACTTGCACTGATAATGATTCATTCGGAATCGAAATATGACCTTATTTGCAGCATGAATTCGGAAAATAAGTTTATTTTGAATTTTAATAAACTAAACGTTCTCCAAAAAACTTTAGTGAGAAAAATCGTTCGTTTTTTCGATTTTTCTCACTAGATTTTTCTACTACACAGCAATAACCTTCCTAGTACCAACAATCAAGATAACGACATCATCTTGTATTACAGAAATCACATGTCAACTGCATACAAGGTAGATGAAGCAATTCTTAAACATATCATCAATAAAAATCATATCAACCAACCCAAATAGTAAAGTTAAACTCCGAATTTATTACAACAATAAAAAGACGTCTCACCTAATACTGAAAAACAACTGTAGTCCTAGAGATATCTTTGAGTTAAAGCGTAATCACTTAATTTATGAATTTAATTGCCCCTTTGACGGCTGTGCACGTCAACATGACTCATATATCGGGATTACTACTACCTCACTGACTAGAAGGCTTAGGATGCATAAACAGAGTGGTGCTATCAAATCTCATTTGGACTCAACACACTCAATCACAATTAGCCGTGAAATCCTCGACAGCAACACCAAATTAATATACCAGAACAGCAACTACACGCATCTTAAAATTGCAGAAGCAGTCCTAATTGACATCAATAAACCAAAAATAAATATACAACAAAAAATGACAACCTCACTTCCAACCCGGCGCTTAACCAACAACGAAAACAAAGAAGTAATAAAAACTAGCATCGTAAATAGTGACAAAGAGGAATATGATGCTATCGATGAAGAAAAGAAGACCAAAGAAGATGACCAGCCAATAAAGAAACCTGAAACCTAATTCGCATCAAAGTTCAATTTTACAACACCAAAGTTAATTTTTACAACGTCAAAGTTCATCTTGACAAAGTCAATATTTCCCTATATATATACAGCAAGGAGCACTGATGATGATTCATTCGGAATCGAAATATGGCCTTATTTGCAGCATGAATTCGA